AATAATAATAATAATAATAATAATAATAATAATAATAATAATAATAATAATAATAATAATAATAATCATAATAATAATAAAAGCAATAATAATTTAGTGTCCTATAGTGTGGGGTTGCCAATTCCATACAGTCCGTCCATTAAGGTAGATCCTATAGAGCCAATGAACCAAATGATTATCTTTCTTTGCTTAACAGTTCCATTACACCATAGAGATAATGACTTAGTTACAGGTCTATGCTTCCTTAAGTCCCAGGCCACCTTCATCCTTAGGCAAGAACAAATCAAGCAAAAGTGCAAAATCACTTTTTGCAACTTCACACCCCAACAGAAGTTACGGCACATAGAGGTAAGCCTCTCAAGGATGAAGCAATAGACAGAGAGCTTGAAACCAAAAGTATTCCACACCTTGTATGATAGCCTTGATAAGCTCAACATGTCCAGCATATAGGATAATGACTTTGTGTTCGTCGCAGTAATGTAATAAATTCTCCAATAGTCTTCAATAAAGGCTCAAACTACGCAACCGTCACCATGAGTGGGGACAATGGCACACCAAGATACTTCACAGGAAAGGTGCATTCTGAAAACTTCACCAAGTCCATGATTTCAGTTTATCAATCCCAAGAAGACATTAGAATTTAAAGTGCTAGCCATAAGTTGGCATTAGATGTTAACGGGCTAACCATAAGTATGGACATATTTTGGCGCTCCAAGAAGGTATCCATGAGGATCTTAATAGACTTAGGACTTAGGAGATCACCCCTTGAGAAAAGTATCAAGTCATTTGCAAAGGCATAATGTGGAATCCTTAGTTTGGCACATTTTGGGTGAAAATTCAAATCATTGTGCTTAGTCCTCATGTTCAACAACCAGGATAGGTATTCCATACGAAGGACGAGGAGGTGTTAATATCGTTGTAAATTAGCATCTAGAAGTATGTCATCATTCTCTTATGATGCCATAGAATATGGAATCATTAGGAAGACTTAATGGACTTTGATTGCACTTATTCAATAAATACCTTGTAAACCCTCTTCATTAATAACTGAAAACAATCATTCTCCTATATTTGTTAAACGTTCCATTGAAACAATAGGTTTTTGTACTCTGCTGCAGATTAAGAGAGAGATCAAAATACTGCAGAACCTTTGTGGAGGAACAAATATTGTTAAACTCCTTGACATTGTCAGAGATCAGCATTCAAAAACTCCAAGCTTGATATTTGAGTATGTAAATAGTACAGATTTCAAGGTTCTATACCCCACTTTAACAGATTATGACATACGCTACTACATATATGAGCTTCTCAAGGTAAAATGAAATTCATTCTTCCTAGTCAATAGCTTAGATTGTGCATGCTCATTCCTTCTCATAGACCTCATATACAAGGAATTTCATATGGAATTGTAGGCACTGGACTATTGTCATTCACAAGGAATAATGCATAGAGATGTCAAACCTCATAATGTTATGATTGACCATGAGTTGCGAAAGCTTCGATTGATAGACTGGGGCCTTGCTGAATTTTACCACCCAGGGAAGGAATATAATGTTCGTGTGGCTTCAAGGTAAAAACTAATCTTGAGTCTGAAGTTATTACAGTATTTTTTTAATAAACAAAAAGTCACAACACCATACTCCTCTTGCTATCTTGACTCTCTAAACGCATTCTGACATCTCCAGTCTTATTTCATATAAATATAAGACTAGTATAATGGGATGCTGGAAATTGCCGATCCAATTCCATAATCAGATAACAGTATGACACTCCCTTCATCCCAAAATAACCACACTTCTTTTTTTATCTGACCCAAAATAAACACTTCTTTTTTATCCATCCCAAAATAATGGTACATTTCTTTTTTGGTGGGGAGTATGTGGCAATCATTATATCTCTCTTTCAATTCAATTCCAACCACACACTTTTCAACACTTATTTAAAGCTTCATGTAAATGGACCTCTAATTTGGGATGAAGTATGATTACCTGTTTGAACTGTAACAAAAAGAAGTGGACTACTAATAGTTAGGGGTACATGTAATAGCATGGACCTACAAACGTATCAAAATTGTAAGTGATCTAGTCACTATTTAGATTATTGAACATGTTGAAACAATTTTGATTGGTTTTAAAATTATTCAGATACTTCAAGGGTCCTGAACTTCTTGTTGACTTGCAAGACTATGACTATTCATTAGATATGTGGAGCCTTGGCTGCATGTTTGCTGGGATGGTAAGAATAAGTTCCTGATTTTATCTTATTATCTTCTCTTCTATTTTGATTCATGAATACAAAATTTTCTTTACTGATTCCCCGATGATAATTTTAAATCTCAACTTCTCATGACTATTCTGAACTGTTATGTATGCAGATTTTTCGCAAGGAACCTTTCTTTTATGGGCATGACAATCAAGATCAGCTTGTTAAAATTGCTAAGGTCATTGTGAATACTTGTATTCTTGGTATTTTTTATATAAAAATTCTTTCAACTCATCAAAATACACCCGAAACACTACATGTCACTGACATAGAACTAAATTTGGGGTAGATGTGACACCTTGAAGTGAAGTCATGGTAGTAAGGTCACTTACATTTTCCAAAAGCTAACAAAAAGTTTTCTAATTTGGTTTTTTTTTAATATTTTGGATCATATTTTTTAGGTTCTTGGAACAGATGAGTTGAATGCATATTTGCACAAGTATGGACTAGAGCTTGATCCTCAGCTTGAAGCTATGGTTGGGAGGTATGGTTCATTTTTGTATCCTAAGATCTACCACTTTCCTCCCACCTTGCCTCCATCCACCACACGATGCATGTCTCACAGAACCCACATGGTTCCGTAGACCCCAGGACATGCTTCAGGTCAAAATGAACTCGACTCCAATGTGCAAATTGCTCAGGTTAGCTCGTTGAATGATTCAACTATTTTCAAGGCCCTAATTGACCTGGTCACTTGGACCAGTTGACCTGCCACCGGAAGATTAACATGGCATTGGTTGTTCTGTGTCTCTGTGAACTGCACTCTGCTAGTTGAACTGTTCAATGAGCCTAACCCGAGCCGTTTTAATATCATGCAATACATGGGTCAAACACATATTTAAACCCTCTTGTAATATATTATAACCATTATTTACATCCAGAGTATTTTTTATGTTGTAACAAAAAACCTTTCTGAAATGTATCACCTCTCCTTGCAGGCACAGCAGAAAGCCTTGGTCGAGATTTTTCAATTCTGATAATCAGCATTTAGTATCGCCTGAGGTATTCCCAAGATTTGAATTTCTATGTTGATAGATCTTTCTTCGGTCCAGTGATGTTGATTTGTACTTTCAGGCCATAGATTTTCTTGACAAGCTGCTTCGGTATGATCATCAGGACAGGCTTACAGCCAGAGAAGCAATGGTAGGCTGGCTCGTTCACTAACGATTTGTGTGCTATGGGAAAATTGGTCTTTGCATCTCATGATTTTTCTCAATATTTGACAACACATCACATTTTCTTGAACTTGTACCCACATGTCATACCCATTAGACTTTGTACCCCGTGATCTATCAACAGTTAGATCGGGGTCCCTCTTGGAACAACCTTTCTGCCCATGGGAATAGTGGTAAGGTCTTCATAGATCATGCCTTTAAAACCTTACTCTTGGGTTGGAAAAAAACATCTATTTTGTTCGGTTCGTGCCCATCGTGTGCCTCTGGCATTTCACCTTTCACCTTGCTCTAAGATGTGTGTTAAGAAAATAAAACATGGCGTCCAAAGTCACATGTTTGTGTAAAGTGTAGGATGCAGAGACACAACTTTCCCTTGATTTTTCTCTCTAATTTTTTTTTTGCCAAAACAGCATCTATGTTTGAGGTTAGATTTTTTGCCATGAGAGTGACATGATTTCACATATTTGCTTTTATTAGGCCCACCCTTATTTCTTGCAAGTGAGAGCCGCGGAGAACAGCAGGATGAGAGTGCAGTGATTGATGCAACCAGTCTTTGGGATGGATGGTATTGATGGAAAAACAATTGTGTCTGTCATTATAACAATTTGCATTGGCTTGTTTGGTTCTTGAGCTAAATGTACCATTGGAGATGTACATCTTTTTTTCCTCTTTTTTAAAATTTGTGGAACCCTTGAGCCCTGGAAATTTAAACTACAAGCAATTTAAATGATTTAGAGTAAGAAATTTAGAGTAAGATTTTCATGATTTAACACCACGGTTAATGTTTTAAATGCACAAGTTGTGTTTTCATGTTTGAGCCCAAACTCCTCAGTCTTACCCTGCAAGAATCAATTGGTGTTTTTGTGCATGTGAAAACACCAAACAGGCATTGGTGTTTGGGTGGAAATTGCCAACAGTGGTCGAAGGTTGTTGATGGTTGGGTAGCAATTGTCACTTGTCAGTGTTCCAAGAACTATTGTGGGAGCTTCCGCGATAGTGTGTGCTTGTTTGTTTCCACATCTGTATTTGATTATGTGTGGGTGAAAATATATAACACATACGCATGGTGTTTTGATGGACGATAATGTTCGGATGTTGCTATCGACAGTGACTAGCGGTCCAACAGACCTGGCGACCCGTTGTGAAAATAAGGGTAGGGTAAAGAATAAATTGGTGAAGTAAAGAAAAACAATTTGTTGTTGGGGTGAAAACCAGGGTGATAGCTGCTATACATGGCATGACTGTTTTTCCACACTACATAAAAGTCAATTCTGCTCAACTTGTCTTTTCAGTTATCACTTATTCTCGTTAAAATCAGACCAGACCAAAGAGAAACTTTAAATAAAACTATAACCAAATCATATCTGACCAGATTTTCAAAAAATTATAATTGGATCAGATGAACAAAAACACAACCTAAAACGCAATGTCTATGTCTTCCCAAAAGGTACTCACTCATGTAGAATATATTGTTTGGATCTATTTAATATTTTGAAAATCAAATCCTATACACACACCGTCCCGAAAAAAAACCTTCTCATACAAATCGGGCATCAGGGGGGTTTGGATTCAACCTTTTTGTTAATAGACACTTGTACCTAAGTTGTCAAATTATAAAACAACCGGTTACTATTCAACTTAATTATATTAGATTAAGTTTCTTTGGGTGGATGTGCAACAAGGTTCAAATTCCATCACCCACTAACCAATTCAGCAGTCTATAGATACAAACAAGAACACACAGCAGCAACTTGCTTTTGGGCGAAAAGCATCAAGTACCAGCTTTGTTTAAATGAATCTTTCCCCCCCTTAAAATCATTCAGAAACGGTTCATTTCTCTACTTTTAACTTGAGATGGGGAAAACATTCCTCTGCTTCTAACTTGGGATGCCTTGCTTCGGCATGCTCTCTGCACTTCACCTCTGTTGTTGTGCAAATAAATGTTTGCATACATGTTTTGCACTGTGGCAATCAAAACAAAGTGAAGATATCAAAGGTTAGAAATGAATCATCCATCGCTATACACAAACAAAAATATGAGGCATAACATTTATGTGGCAAATGAATCAATTTGTCAACCATATGTCATCTCTAGCCAATGATAAATCCATCCAGTCCATCCATTAAAAAGATTAGTAGTAATGGATTGAACCCATTTGTTTGCCAGCCCTAGGTATCGTAGAGTTCCAAGGCTCAACTCTAAATAGCTAATTCAAAACCAAAATTGACAGAAAACAGATAGAAACAACTGTGTGCAAACTATACATTTACCATAATGTATATCTTACGTCTGTCCCACAAAATATTGATTTCAATGATGAAACATCAATATACTGCGTGCAAACCATATCTTTACTCTAATTTATATATTAAATCCATCCCAAAAAGTAAAATATAGAAGTGTTCTTTTTATTTTCTGAGATGTATTATGCATAGAGCTTTTCAAATATTATTTGTTACACAAAGTAATTAAATTTTGGGAGGTTCCATAATGAAGTGGGTGGGATGGTTGCTTTGAGTGGGGGGTTTATTGGGGTGTAGGAACCGTCAAATTTACGAATGGGGTACTGTAGCCGCCCCAATTAGAGCCAATGTCGTAACATCGCATGGGCTCCCAATGTCAAAAGAAGGGAGCTCTTAATAACTTTTGCTACTTTTTTGCACGTGCTTTGTGTCTTCTTTCTTAATTTACGTTGACTTTGATCGAGCTGGGAGCCTCTTGAAAACAGTCCCCTCTACTTCCGCATAGGGGTAAGGTCTACGACTCTACGTACACCCACACTCCCCATACCCTACTTCTTGTGAGCTAGGGATGTTGTCGTTGTTGTTGTTGTAATCTATCCCTAACTTTACATAAAGAGAAGCTAATTTTCCCTTAGATTTACAAAAAGAAAACAATTTTTTTCGACAAATAATAAAGCTACATTATGGGCTATGACGATATCAAGAGTCCATAAAATATTTTCTTCAAGAGAACCGACAATCGTTATAGATAATTCGGCCACGTCTAAATAAGTCAAATGGACATGGCATGTACATATTAGAAGGTGTGTAAGCATACAAATACACCATAAAGGGAAAGAAGAGGATCTAGATTGACTTGAGCAATGGCAATTTGAGGGGACCTCATAAATGTGTAAAGCTTAGAGAGGAAATGACTCTCAAATTTATTGAAAGATGCCATTTGATACACGAAGACTGATTAAAGGCGGGGTTTAGTTTTCCTTAAGCTTCGAAACAAAAATTACACAGATTAACAAGAAATCTCAGATATTGTATTCCTCTAAAAATTTACATAAAGCTATAGGTTCCAAGAAAATAAGAAATCAAAATATCACAATCAAACGAAATATTAACATATAAATACCTGGATAGTCATGGCCTTCTTGTTAGATTGCAACTGGCTTCCTGTGCAGACCAGATCATTTTGCAAGTCAATTCAACGGAAAACTAACATGAAATGGAAGCTCAATCATAAATTCACAAAGCGGCAAATAAAATTCCCAATAAACGGTAGAATTACACTTTGCAAGAAGATCAAAAGCACAGTTCGGGGGAAAAGAAACAGGAGAGCAAATTCCCATTCAACAAAAACAAAACAAAATTAAAAAAAACGGAAAACCTTTAGCGGCCTTGTTCTTTTCGAGATTTCTCTCGCGAGCCGTCTTGGATTTCTGAGCGTTGCCGCCACCCATGCTGCTTTGGCGTTTCTCAGGTTTCAACGCTTGATCAAGGGAGGGGGGCGGAAGAGGCGTGTATATACGGGCTCCAGGAATTTGCTGTATACATGAGAGAGATAGGAGTCATAGGACGGACGGCTACTTGGAGAATTTTGTGGAATTTTTTTTTTACTTTTACCTCATCCCCAAGTTATACTCGTGAATCACTTTTGTATATAGGTATTCCTTATATTTTTATTATTATTTGATAAAATAATGTCATTTTTAAATATATAATTTTATACTCCATATGGAGTACTTTTTATAGATACAACCAACGACAAACATGTTATTCTCTCCGTTCTATAATGTTTGTCACTCATAGAATGACATTAAAAATCCATCATTTTAAAAATATTTTAATTACTAATTAGTAGAGAAATAAAAACTAAAAATTATATTGTTCAAAGATACATCAAAAGTTCTACAAAAAATCATGACAAGATTATTTTATTGTATCAAACAATCAATGGAAATATACAAACAAAAATTATCGTGAGGTCCTAATAGCATAGTAATAGTGACAACCATTGTAAGACAGAGAGAGTATTAATTTGTATACATTGGAGGGAGTTGTGGTATCTCTTCCTCTTTTTCGATTCGCATAGTTCTGACATCTTATTCCTCAATCATCACGCGCGGCGCAATGATTAACCACGACAACCACCGACGGTCTTTCAAGAGCTCCTATCGTCGTTGGATGAAGAGATGATGAATTTGGACATTTGAGTATTTTATACCCATGTAAATGAGTACTCCCTCGATCCCTCTAAGTTCTTCCTTGTCACTATATTTGACTGAAATTATTTTTAATTCATTTTATATGAAAATTGATGTGGAATTTAAAAATAAAAATCATAAATTTAAAAAAGTACATCAAAAGATCTGCAAAAAATGATGACAAGATTATTTTATTTTCTCAAATAATAAAAAAAAATAGATGAATAAAGTAAATAAATTTAACCCTGTGAATACTAGCCTACCAGAGGAACAAATGGAGTATTATCTTACTCTTAAATGAACATCTCGTATACTTGTAATGAACATTGTGTGACTCTCAAATGTCCTTACATATATTTTTATGATGTTGTGAAATGAGTATTAAGTACTCATAAATGAGTATTTTACAAATGCGGAACCAAAGTAAAAAATATACGAAATAAATATTCGATTACTCTTAAATGAATATTAGATGAATATTGGCCGGATGGACAGGAAACACACACATCCAAATGTATGGTATATGCTCTCTCCCTCATCAAATTATAATTTATAATCATTCTTCTTTCAAATTTCAACACTTTTTTAAAATTTTGTGAAGGTCAAATGAAAAAGATTTTTATAGGGATGAAAGGAGTATTATTTAGAACGAGATCAATTTGGTCTTTTAGTAATCGATTGATTTTAGTTCGACTTTCATTAAAAAAAACAGGAACTCTTTTTTCATGGTTGCCTGTCGTGGCAACTTTGGCAAGTGACCAACAACAGAAATCATAAAACACTTTCTCATTTTCTTTGCAAATCAACAAACTTGAGAACAAGCCAAGTTTCAAGGGGTTAAGTATGATATAGAGATGTCAATTACTCCATCCGCCTCATAATACCAAAAGGGCGATACGAGTTATTTTTGTCTGTTTCAAGACCCTCTTTGAATTTACACGTAAATGACTTCCATGGTTATGGAATGGAAATTAGCTTTCGTATTAATCACATGAAATGATAAAAATGATCACAAGTTAGATAGAACTTTAATAAAACTAGTTAAGAAAAGAAACAAATATCAATGCTAATAACACTAATTAGTCTCACTTTTCTGCACTAATAATCTCAAGGTTTGTATTTCTCATAAAAAAAACCAAAGTTTGTCAATGTTAAACTCACTACTCGTGAGTAGGGACCATTAGCATTGACACCGAAGAGGCCACGATTTTGATGAGAAAATACGAAGCATAAAATTATTAGCGCGAAATGGGTAAAACTAGGAGTTATTGGCATTAATTTTTCCCAATAAAATGCCACACCTTTATGTTGTAAGATCGATATTAAACATTCTAAGATTACATGTATACTCCGTCCAAACGAAGAACAAAGATTGGTAGATCTATTTAATTCTGGGTTCAGTCTTCTTGTCAAGTATTTTGGCTTAACAAATGCCCCTAAAAGCTTGTTTTCTTCACCTGATCTGATTGATTCTAATCTGATTGGAATAAGTTCTGATCTAATCCGAGATAGTCTGATCTGAATGTAGTTATATCTTTAAAGTTGTTTCTTATCTGATCTGAACTGATTCCAATAAGAATAAGTAATAAGTTGAAGAAAACAAAGTGTAAGCCTCACGAGACATTTGACCCCACCCCCAACTACCACTCTATTATGTGTGTGTTCGTATGCTTTGACCGATTTAAAAAAGAAAAGAAAAGAAAGGGCTCAAAGCTATTACTGAGCCAAGTCTGAGAAGGAACTGAGAGCAGCAACCACGGATCCGGTCGTGTCAAAGGTCGAAGACACGTCAGCATAGCCTTTCCAGGATGTGGTCACCTTGAGGGATGAGTACAGCCATCTCTTCACAGAGGTTACAAATGCAACCGGGTCGGGCTCCAGGATGGCTTCCCAGTCTAATTGGATGCCTTCCGGGATGCTCCCAGTGAACTCCATGTTGGCTGCGAGGAGAAGCCCGAGCAGGACCACAAGCCCAACCACTGCAGATCCTCCTGAAAGTGGCATGAAATTATACCTGATAATGCAATATAATTAGATGTTAAGATTTTATGTTCGATATGAGAATGTATGTTTCAAAACTAACTTGGAAAAGATTTACCAGTAGAATGTAATTCTCAATATTGCATCTCTGACATTTTCTAGCACATCAAAGTCTCTTGAGCCATATGCCTCCCCAGTGTAAGCGTCACAGAGTGCCTGCATATCCAACGTCCATATTAGTGTCTAGATGTCACTTTGTATGAATTTATAGCATTAAATAATTGTTGGGTTAGAATTAACACTGTAAATCTCATTCATGTCATTCACCCAATGCCTAACATCAATACTCTAAGAGCATCCATATCGGCTCTTCCTCCTCATCCTCACCTAAATTCTTCCGGCTATATCACTTCTGATATCACTAAGTAATATCTCTAACTAATGTAGATGCCGAGATGGGATGCGGAAGAAACGTGGGCATGGGAAAATGGAGTTTATCTCATACATACTAATGAATGGTGGGACCCACGAAGAGGAGATATTATCCCACAATGGGGTATTGGTGAGGACAGTATCCCAAATGGGACCAACAAAATAGTCATTAGATGGATATATGAATGTGGAAAGAGATATTGCAATAGGAACCAATTTAATATCCCTTTAATACCTCCAAATGAATGTGGTTTCTCTAAAATGCATTACTCCTACCCCATTAATACTTTCCACTTTTGATTTTTTTGGTCAAATAAATTAAATTTTGACCTCTAATAAATGTGAGTACAAGATTGAAGCGACATAAAATAGTAAAGTTTTCATAAAGTACAAAAATTATATCTTTTGCAAAAATATACCAACACTAAACATCAGTCAAAGTTTAACAATTTTGACCAACAAGTCAAAAGTGTGAATGTGAATGGGATATAGGGATTATAAACTTTAGAGACGTGCCTAATATCTAAACGAGCAAGGTCAATTTGAAAGAACAACATAGGTGGCCAGTGGAAGTATGGCACCAAGGCACAGATTATGCAGGAATTTTTAGGACAATGCAAGTATGTGAATGAGGAATTTTAAAACTAAGATGGAAAAGGTGTTGACTCCTAGGCTTAGATATCCGAGGAAAAGTTGCAAGCCATGATATTATAACAGGAAAATATACTTCAAATGCTTTTGAATGGATACAATATTAGGGATTTACCAATGCATCGGGGGAAGGGGGTTGAGTTATGTAGAACACATCTACATGATTGGCATTCTGATGTGAACAATAAACGCCAATTTAGCTTGTTTCCATATGTTTAATAGATAAACAATTAGCAAATTGACATTTTTTGCAGCTGTACTTGTCCACAATATCCATAGAACCCATCCAAGAACTTGAGTACAAATGACAAAATGATCAGATAAAGCATGACATCTAGATAGATATACCTCCCATGCTGATGTCATTTCCATGTCAAATGCATCCCACCTCGCAGGTGTGCATGGCGTACTTATTGAGAAATCATATCCAATTTTACCCCTGAAAATGAAAATCATGAATAAATGCAAATGAAATATGGACGAACTAAAGAGATAAAGAGAGATCTATACGATTTTACTAGTGCGATTCTTGTCCCTTCAAGGTGTCTTCTGAAACAATGAAAAAAGAAAATTAATGAGAAGAATTACATAAAATGAGAATGCTTAAGTAAATATGGAATACAACAACCAACATAGTAAAATCCCATAATCGGATTATTGAAAAAGCAATCATTAACCTAGAAAGTCAAGACGGAACAGGTTTTCTCTCTCTCATCCATGGCGAAAAAGAGAGGAAGGCCGAAGGTGTTGGACCAATCTTGACATTCAGTAATAGTTAGGGGTTTATTTTGTAATTGTGTTGAAGTCTTTATTTGTCAAAAATTAGGGTAGAGTCAGTCATAATTTTAGGAGATATATCTCAGATGGATTTGAGATTATCATAGCTTGTAGGAGTAGGAGATGTTTTGCTTGGAGAACAAGGCTGATGATTTAACTTGGTGGACAAGGTTAACTCATCTATAAATAGGGATAGTTTTTCTTTGTTTTATGCATTCAAAGTTTTGCAATTAATTGGAGAAAGATTTCCAATAAGTTCTTGTTCTAGATTTCTGTTTTCTGTTTATCGAGATCTGGTACCAATAACTCAGCCCATTTATGAACAGCCCACAAAGCAGCAGATCGACCAATGTGGACAACATAACCCAATCTGATGCTAGTAGTTCTGAAATAACAGTAAAGGGGCGAGGACCTATGTTGCCTCGACTTCAAACAGATACAAATAATCTGTCAGATCCACACATGGCAGAAGAGGAAACATATGATGATACACCACCTCGAGGGTGGAAGGATTTAAATGAAGTGTATAATCTTCTTCTTACTGAAGGAGAACCAACCAATTTCAGGGAAGCTTCAGGACACAGAATGGTAGCAAGCTATGGAAAGTGAAATAGCTTCTATTGAAAGGAATAACACTTGGGAGTTAATGGATCTACCCCCAGGGCATCGACCCATTGGACTAAAATGGGTATACAAAATCAAAAGGGACGCAAAAGGAGAAGTCACACGACATAAAGCCCGGTTAGTCGCCAAAGGCTACATCCAACAACATGGTGTAGACTATGACGAGGTATTTGCACCCATGGCTAGACTTGAGACCGTTAGACTCATTCTAGCTTTGGCAGCACAAAGAGGGTGGGACGTTCACCACTTAGATGTCAAAACAGCGTTTTTGCACAGTGATCTCAAGGAGGAAGTCTTTGTATCACAACCGGAAGGTTTTGTGAAAAAAGGAAAGGAACAAAAGGTATACAAACTGTCAAAGGCTCTTTACGGGTTAAAACAAGCTCCACGAGCTTGGAATACAAAGCTAGATGGAGTTCTAAAGAAGTATGGATTCCGAAAATGTAAACTTGAACAAGCTGTGTACACAAAACGTACGCATGAAGGATCACTCTTGGTGGGAATTTATGTTGATGACTTGATTGTGACAGGAAATAATTTAGAAAAAATCAAGCAATTCATAAGGCAAATGGAGGAAAAATTCGAGATGAGTGACTTGGGATTACTCTCTTATTATCTTGGGCTTGAAGTGATGCAATGCAAAGAGGGAATCAAAATCAAGCAATCTAGGTATGCTATAAAAATCCTACAGCAAGCAGGAATGTGGGAATGCAATTCCACTAAATACCCAATGGAACCGGGACTGAAATTAATGAAGGATGATGGCAGCAGCAGTGTTGATGCAACTCAGTACCGAAAAATAATAGGTTGTCTTCGATACTTGACTCATACAAGACCAGATCTTGCAAATTCGGTGGGATATGCGAGTAGATACATGCAAGCTCCTCAGAACACACATTTTCAAGCTGTAAAACAGATTCTCAGATATGTGAAGGGTACTACAGATCTGGGAATTCATTATCGAAGAAGAGGAAGTAATGTTTTACTTGGTTTTAGCGACAGCAGCTTCTCGGTAGATCCGGATGATGGAAAAGGAACTACTGGATTAGTTTTTTACTTTGATGATGGACCCATTGCTTGGAATTCGCAAAAACAGCCAACAGTAGCCTTATCATCTTGTGAAGCAGAATTTATGGCTGCCACTTCAGCAGCCTGTCAAGCAACATGGTTAAGGGGATTGTTAGCTGAAATAACTGGAAGAAAAGAAGAACAAGTGGTGATCAAAGTAGATAACAAATCAGCAATATCCTTGATGAAAAATCCAGTATTTCATGGAAGAAGCAAGCATATCAACACGCGGTATCATTACATACGAGAGTGTGTTGAAAAGGAGCAGATTAAAGTTGAGCACATCAGCGGAGATCAACAACGGGCTCATATTCTTACAAAAGCACTCCAAAGCTGAAGTTTGCTGAAATGAGAAAGATTCTTGGGGTAGAAAGGATTGAAGACTCGAAGGACTCAAAGAAGTAAAAGAAGACTCAAGGTCAAGATTGGGAGGGTGATTGTTGGACCAATATTGACATTCAGTAATAGTTAGGGGTTTATTTTGTAATTGTGTTGAAGTCTTTATTTGTCAATAATTAGGGTAGAGTCAGTCATAATTTTAGGAGATATATCTCGATCAGATGGATTTGAGATTATCATAGCTTGTAGGAGTAGGAGATGTTTTGCTTGGAGAACAAGGCTGATGATTTAACTTGGTGGACAAGGTTAACTCATCTATAAATAGGGATAGTTTTTCTTTGTTTTATGCATTAAATATTTTTCAATTAATTGGAGAAGGATTTCCAATAAGTTCTTGTTCTAGATTTCTGCTTTCTGTTAATCGAGATCTGGTACCAATAACTTCAGAAGGATAGTTCACATCTGAGAACGCTGAGAATAAGGACATTGAGAAGAAGAGCAAAACACCGAGGCGGATAGAAAGGAGGGATTAAAACCGGAAGCTCTTCAGAACACGCCTATTGCATCGGAATCCAGATCTGAACAGGGCACTAGGGCAGTACGTTGAAAGGCGAGGAATCAATTGCACAAAAGGTAACTGAGAACCCATTTGTGGATAACCCAAAATCATATACGGAAACTGTTGGTGAATTCTGATAATTTAGGGCTTGTTCTCTTCAACTTGTCTGATTGGTTCTGATCTGATTCAATTAAGTTCTAATCCATGATCTGATCTGATTCCAATAAAAATAAGTAAAAAGTAAAAAAAATAAATTGAAGAGAACAAGCTCTTAGTGCTAGATTTGAGCTACGTAGAAGCTGAGGCGATTGATGGAAATAAAGTTGATGTGTTTTGTAAACCTGATGTTATTGAATTCACGGATTATTAGAATGCTTCCCTGATATGTTGCGTGCTGGGAGCAAATTATCCTCTTGAGGTGATGAAAGGGTTTCTAGCTCGTATCTGAAAGGCATATCCCATAGTTGAGATTGTGTTTTTAAAGAAGGGACAGTTTGTTGTTAATTTTCGTGAAGAAAAGGATAGAGATGAAGTGATCAAAAGGAAGTACTATCATTTTGACTCAGAACCCGTGTTGGTCCAAAAACAGAAACCAGGGGTGAAAGTTGATGTGAATGATCTACAAGATATTCCTATTTGGATTCAGATTCCAAACTTAAAAATGAAATACTGAAGCCTCTCTGGCTTAAGCAGATTGAGAAGCCTTATAGTAAACCAGTTAACAGGGATAAGGCTACAGTTAAAGTGCATCAGGAATTTCCTTCTAAACTAACTTTTGTGGGTGAAGAGAAAAGAGTTATTACTCAAAGGGTGGATTATGAATGGTACCCAATATACTGTACCCATTGTGGAAAGATTGGTCAAGGACAAGAGAACCGCAGGAAGAATGAGAAGACCAACCTAGTTAAGAAAAACTGGATTCCTAAACAGTTCTACAGAAAGAAGACACTAAGGGGGGTGTATTCAATTAGGATTTTATTGGATTTTTTTAGATTTGAAAAAGTTAGTGAATTTGAAAAATTTGTAAAATCCATGTAGAGTTTGATTGATTTTTTGTAGAATCCATGTAGAATTTGTAAAAATTGTACTCCGTAGAAACTGTAGAATTCATGTAGAATTTAAAAAATTAGTATAATCCTATAAAAAAGTTGTAGAATCCTAGACTTTGTGTCTATTCCACGTCGGCCCTCATAGTCACCACGAAGCAACCACGAAGCAGAGAGCCCCCAAGTCAGCAAATTCTCAAGCCTTCCACTGCCGATGAAGAAGCTATTCTGAGTGATGAAGAAGATGTTCGATCTGCGTCACTTCCTGCTCCAACTGCTGCCACTCCCCCTCCAGCTCCGCCGCCGGACACCATCAGCGCCGCCGCCGTCGCCATCAGTGGCGACCTTGAGATGTGGTGCCCACGAAAGAGAGGAGAGGATCGGATTTGGGATTCTTAAAATCTTTGGTTGGGAGCAGAGATTTGTTTATAGACTTTTTATTATAATTTCTACCTTCAAATCCATTAAAATCCATGTAGAATACAAATCTTTAAAAATCATGAAGTGTTGAATATCTTTAGATTTAGATAGAATTTTTAAAATCCAAATTCAATACATTCAGATTTCAAATGACTTTTTAAAATCCGAATTTAATACACTTAGATTTTAAATAACTTTTTAAAATCTGAATTGAATACCCATAGAATTTTATAATTCAAAAAAATCCTTTAAACTATAAGTTCAATACACCCCCCTAAATAAGGATGCAAAATACAAACAGAAGCAGAAGACTGTGGAGGTCACTGACTCACTGATAAGGAAAAACTAGAGGATGATCAGTTGGAATATCCAATAGTTAGTAGAAGAAAGACTGCAAGAAAGTTAAAGGTGGGTGATAATGAAGATGGCAGTGAATGGATTATTAATAAAGATTTGGTGGATGCTCCTGATAATGGCCATTACCCATTTCATAAATGATCAGTAGCTGGAATATAAGGGGCTTGAACTGTTGGGCGAATTGAGTGTGGAGGCTCGACAAAGAAGGGCAGCCGGCCCTAGTCTTGGTTCGACCCATATGGCAGTAAATTAGGTTTTTAATTTAGCCGGCCCTAATTCTCTATGTGGGCTTGGGCCTAACTTGGGGATTAAGTTTTCAACCCTAGTTTAGTCTTCATAAATAAGGATCTCTGTACTTG